AGCAAAAATTTGGGCAGCACTCCCTTTAGAAAAGGAGACTCTCCAAATTTTTACTAAGTCATATATAAAAGTCAGACAAACTGAACTTTGAAAAGACAAAATATGATCAACTTCTTGGTTTTGTAGAAATTTTGGCAGCGCTTCCCGTAGAGAAAGTGACTTACCAAGATTTATACAAGACCAAGTATAATAAAAGATCCTCTAAAATGCACGAATTTATCTAAGTAAAAAAAAAACTTAGCTCAGAAAATGCAGGAATTGAAACTCACTCCTATGACTCTAACACGTGGCGAGCAACTAAAGCAACTACCTATCAAACTGAAACTCATACTAAGTAGTAGTCTCACTCAGTCACATAAGTACTCTCACCATCCCAAAGTCAACTTAGCAAACAATAGTTCATAGTATTTCAATGCTTTATCCCTTTATACCCAGCTTATATAGGGCATAAAGCTAGACCACCCAAACTTGTGGGACATGTCTAGCTTAGCCATGAAGTATACACAAACACAGAGCACAACAACTTTTCTCTTCTTTGAGCATATGACTAGGTCATTCTAGTCGCCCTAAACTGTTTAAATAGCCAAGTTATATATACCTCTCTGAACTTAATCTTCAAAGTGGGCGTATGACTGAGTCATTCGTCTTAGAAATAATGCTCGGTCGGCCCAAGTTACCCTCAGTTATACTCTTAGTTACACTCTCTTCAGTTCGTGATAGGGCTATAGTTTGGCCACCCAAACTTATGGGACCCTGTCTGACTAGCCTGTTCTTAAAGAAGATAGTAATAAAGTATAGCCAATTCATAACCTTTGGGTTCCAGCAGGTGCGAGGCATTAGACCAGAATACCTAAACTTATAGAATAGTCTGACTCCCTGCCTGGTTCATTCCTCTCTGATCCAATCTGTGCGCGGCGTGGGGTCAAGGTCACCCAAACTTATGGAATGACCTTGTCCTCTGCCAAAGTTACTCCCTCAGAATAAAAGCAAGAAGAGGCTGAGTCACCTAAACTTATAGAAGGGCCCAAACCTTCTCGTTCAGAACCAAATAAACAGGAAAGAAACCCAAAGTAAACAAGGCAACCAAGCCACCTGAACTTACAGAATATGCTTGGCTCCTGAAAAATCAATCACAGTTAAACCCTCGCAAGTTAGAGCAGCCAGACCACCTAAACTTATAGAATGGCCTGACTCTCCATGCAATTCCATAGCACTGGGTCTCCCCAAACTTATGGGGACAACCTCCAGAGCAATCAGACCACCCAAACTTATGGAATGGTCCGATACTCCAAGCAATCCAAAATAAACACAGCACTGGGTCTCCCCAAACTTATGGGGACTTCCCAGCCTTAATGACCTAGTCAAACTTTATGCAAAACTGCCTTCCTCCCAGCCTTCCCCTAGATGCAAACCCCCTTTTTCACAATCTGTTTTCACGCAACCAATAAACTGAAACTTGAAATTGCACACACATTCCTTTACTTGGTCTGGGTTATGTCATGAAAGCCACACCCAAAATCAAATATAGGGCACACGCGATACAATCAGTCAACTCATAGAAAGAAGTACAAGTAGGGGATATAACTGGGTTTAGAGAGGGAGTTAAGAAATTACCGTTCAGTTCCCTGCCTCCAGAACTCCTCCTGAGTTCCGATAGAGCTCCCGCAATCAGTGGGCTGACTCCCCACAGAGTCTTGCTGCGGTCCTACGGGTTGCAATCCCGCCTGCCGCCTTCCCCTCAGATCAGGACTAGACTTAGAGTAAGAAGGGCAGGGCGAGATAGGTTTGAGACTCTCAGATCCAAGAATGATGCTCTCAGACTCGCAGGAGAGGGCCTTGTTATCCTCAAGCGTCTGAGGGCCCCACAATGATGGCCAAAACACGCAGCAGCTCAGCCAGCTGAAGTCAAACCGCTCGTCCTTGACTTCTCTGGCAATCCTCCCAACTAGCAGCATAAACCCGCTTCAGCGAACTCAATCCTTTTTGTCATACCGCCTTGAAATCTAGTTGGCCACGCAGTATCATCAAGCCCCGGTAGCTACCCAATCTGTGGCTGGGATCAGACTTAATAGAATGAGCGATGCAACGACCAACAGCTAAGCTTCCAACTCCTGCAGCTTGCTTCACGCCGCTTCAATTGGTATGATGAGCAGTGTACTGGCTGGCAGGTAAGCCCCTCCCCCGTAGCTTGCTTTTAGCAACTTCATTTGGCGGCAAACAGTGTATTGGTCAGCAAGTCTTCAACTTCCGCAGCTGATCTCACACTGTTTCCATCAATAGGCCGGGCAAACCCGAATGTCCGCTTGCAGCTCCTTGCTCCTCCGCTGTTTGGCAATGTGTAATGCACAAACCAGCAGGTAAGTCTCCAATCTACAACCCACTCTAACAGTCTGAAAGTTAGGCTTACACTGCCTCGCACGCTAAAGCGGGCAGTGTATTGCCTAGTAGGTAGATCCTCGGTGGAGCTTCCAACTCGCATTCGGCCCTCTCGCTTTTTCCGTTTGATAATTGGATGGACCACTCTCAGGCCACCAGGTAAGTATCCAAGCCCCACTGCTGGTCCCCCGCTACTTTCATACGCAGGCCAGCTTTCGGTTCACCTCGCACCTCCAACCGTGCGTGACAAACAATCTTTTTTCGTCTCGCGCTTTCGGTTCATGGCCTTTTCACTAACGCACGGAGAGTCGTCCTTCTACAGGGACATAAAAGGCATATGCTGCTCCTGCCCCGGTGCCCCGCAACTCTCGTCAACTTCAACTAGGTAAGTACTTCGCTTCTCCTTATTGCACATAGCAGCCCCTAACGCATAACTGCACCTGACCGTCGGCCTGGCCAGGTTCGCTCAAACTCCGGCAGGAAGCAAATCGCAAATCGAGGCGAAATGACGAACGGGAGGGAGGGAGCATTCGGGATGGGAATCATGATCGAGCGAGGGCATGAACCCCACGATCTCGATAAGCAGCAACGCCCATCCCTTGCAAGGTAAGTAGAAATTTGAATGAATCTTCCGCTAGAACGCGGAAGTATACATTGCTCTCCCAGTCGTTCCCTTCTGCACACTACCTTCTTACTAACTTTCGTACCAATCCGAGTTCATATTCGGGGTCGCCAGCCCCAAAAACCCCCGCTCCGAACTCCACTTTGATGAAATCGGTCAAGACATGACCGAAATATACTAACCTCTCTCTCCCACTCCTTCACTCTCCGCCATAGCCCCGCACACGACTATTTCTCACTAGCTCCTAGTTTACTATTTTACTCACCGAACTAACCTCACCATTCCCTTCGCCACACCTCAAAATCTCGGATTCGGCTTTTAGTTTACCGAAATCCGTTTAGAATTCAAGATGCTGTACACTTTCTGCCTTCGTCATCCCTCTCGTTTCGCCACAGCCCCGGCGCACCACCTATCTCCACTAGTCTAACATTAAAACTGACCCCGAATTTGAGGTCGCCCGTCCCCAAAACCAGTACAACGAATCTCCCCTCATCTAAATCCGTTCAGAAATTGACAAAATACGTTCACTTCTTCTTCTCCTTTCCTCACTCCGCCATATCTCGGCGCACTAACTCTTTCTTCTACCTCCTTATCTACTAAGCCTCCTTAAAAACTGGCTTCATATCTGAGCTCGCCCTATTCTAAAACGTCAGAAATGAACCTCCCTTTGCCCATTCTCTTTAGGAAACGGCCGAGAACACCCCTGTTCCATGTTCGAGCTCATCGTTTCTGTCTCTTTCGACGCCTTATTCCCCGAATGCACCTAGCGCGAATTCGCGCCAGGTTCACTCCGTTTTTTCTAGTTTCATGTTCTCCCCCCTTTTCTTCTTTGCCCCGTCCCGACAGCTATGCCTTCTGTCTCTCCGATGCCTACGGCGATCCACCTTCTTCCCACTCATCTTCATCCTCCCTGTCATTTTTAGCCTGTGGCCGCACCCGGCACGGATCACATCCAGGTGCCTTCTTCGTGGTCAGCGTTACTTCGCCCTCTCTGCTAGCGCAGCCTAACGAGTCGCAGCTTCCACAACACTGTCAGCAGCGCACTGTACCGGCCCGCAACTCTTGTTGTCTTAGAGGGAAACTTATGGGAAAAACCAGCGAGTAGGCGATTTGAATGTCTCCCGTCCCTATGTGCAGATTCGGTAAGTGACCCGCACCCGGGACAACTGCAGCCTCCCCGGAGTTTCCTCTGGCCTAGTCCTGCGCTGGCGCCACTCGCCCGGAGACTGTATTAATCTCCCCTGTATCACTCCGAAGGACTGCGCCCTCTCTGCTAGCGCAGCCTAACGAGTCGCAGCTTCCACAGCACTGTCAGCAGCGCACTGTCCCGGCCCGCAACTCTTGTTGTCTTAGAGGGAAACTTCTGGGAAAACAACAGCTTTTGCCACATTACTCAGAATACGGTCATGAGGAAGGTTGGTGTACACTGTGGGAAAATCAACAGTGTGAGGAGAGGGGCCACAAAGAGATGGTGCATTATTTTTCAGGTCAATCGCCACTTCATCAGCACTATAAATGATCCAGCAACATTGAACACCAACCTGTTGATAGAGCTCGGTGTCTTTCTTGCGAAGAGTAGAGATCATTTATTGCAAAGCAGTGCTGAGACATGACGAAGTAGTAATATATAAGTACTTGGCAAAACCAAGTAGGAACTCTCTTTCCCCAAACACAACGCACCCTCGTCATGAATTACTTACTTTCACAAGCTCTCTCCGGTAAGTGGCCTCTACCAGTAAATTGACATGAAAAATCAATCGACCGTTATCACCCGGTACAAGCTATCTTGATGGTCTGATACAGTCATGATGAGGGGGCATTGTGTTTGGAGGGTGAAGACGGTAGTCACGACAGACATACATGCAGGTATTCCCGCCCATGCGGCGGAATGGTACACACATGTAACTCTTAACAAACAGATCATGAGTTCAAACTTCAAAATCCTTATCAACTTGGACAAAATAAGGTTAGGGGCTAACCCCTGTTAAAAAAAGAAACGTACCCTTCCAGGACTGTAAATAACATGTAATGGCTTCTTCCATGGCTTCAGCTTGAAAGCTCCCATATCCGAGTCAAAGTTGTGTAGAATTGCTGTCTGCTTGTGGCTGCTTCCCAGCAGTACCTTCCCAAAGTCAATGACGTCAGGTTCTAAGCAGAACTGGCGAGGCACAGTTGCTGGATCCATCCTTCGTTTCATTAATTGCACTGATGACGTCTTCAGTTGCCGACGAAAAGGTGCTTCTATTTCCATATACCTTTTGTTCAGGGTTGGCTGAACCACCATTCTGCAGAAGAAGGAGCAGGAGGAGGAGGATTAACAATAGCAGATCACATATGCAGTGATGAAGAATTATTTCTTCTGTGTGAGACAGCAGACAACCAGGTGCACAACCCACGCATGCACGCACACACACACACGCACACACACACACACACACACACACACAGACACAGAGACAGAGAGAGAGAGAGAGAGAGAGAGAGAGAGAGAGAGAGAGAGAGAGAGAGAGAGAGAGAGAGAGAGAGAGAGAGAGAGAGAGGGATTATGGTCTGGTTAGGGAGGGAAAAAAGAAGTTCATGAAGTGGAAAGACAAGGCCTGTCTGCTGCAATCAGTCAATTTGCTTTGATATGTTCTAAGTCCATAAAGATGAAAACAGACCTCAAAAAAAAAAGAAACAAGTGCAGCGATGTCAGGTTTTGATTTTCTAAAAGGCAAAAAGACATCATGTCGGGAGGGCTGTCACGGTGGGAGTTCCAGATGGGCAAAAAAAACATAAAGCGGCAGTCTGCACACCACGGCCCTCCGCCTGCAAAAAACCTGACCCGCCTGTTTAGGAAGCCGCGCCATGTTTTTATTGCCTTTGAACTCCAGGCACGACTGAACCTACCGGTATGTGTTTTTTTTTTGCCCACTCAAGACTCAATGGTGACTGAAACGCACTTGGCCCCCTCCAAAAAATATGAAAAAAAAAACAGACCTTTCACTGTAAGGATGATCTGCGGCCAACATACAGCTCCTGCCGTTCGGGTTAGCCACTCATAAGACATGGAGGGTATTTTCTCAAATTTTCTGGAGAAGTAGGGGGGGGAGAAGTCTCCAACGTCTCGAAAGTCTTCAAAGATAATAGTTGAAACAAAAGTATGACAGGATGTGTGGCCAGCTTCAACGCTTATTTTGTGTTTGTGTTTTGGCACGTGATCGACCAAAGTGCACTCAACAACACGCTGTGAAGACTCGAGCTCGTCAAACGTTCTTCCTGTTTTTTACTGCAGCGGATTCAGCCAATATTAGTCTGCCAGGCACTACCGTCTTCGGCTGGAAAAAAAAAAAAAGAAAAAGAATGCCGGGTCATTATAGCTGTATCTGGTCTGGAAATTGCACCAAATATGGCTATAATGACCGGGCTTTCTATTAAGGTGAAGACTGAAGACGGTAGCAGCTTTATTGTTGAGTTAACAACGTCAGGGCTATAAAAAAGGGAAAGAAAAGGGGGGTACAATCTTGAGATATATCGTCTGATGGGACCAGAACCTGGTTTCCACACTCGCTGTGCCCCCTTCCCCCCCCAACTGTTATAGATTGAAGCCGTCTACTGTGCAAATAAATAAGACATTGTAGAAGTCCACAACGAGATGAACATGGTGTATTCAATGCCGTTGAAGATACTCGTAGTGAACAACACGCTGTGAAGACTCAAGCTCGTCGAAATATTTTCCTGTTTTTCACTTCCGCCGCTTCAGCGGCTTCAGCCAATATTATTCTGCCAGGCACTACCGTCTTCGGCTGAATAGAATGCCGGCTCACTATAGTTGTATCTGGACAGGAAATTGCACCAAATACGGCTATAATGACCGGCCGTCCTATTCGGGTGAAGACTGAAGACGGCAGCAGTTTTATTGTTGAGTTAACAAAGTCAGGGTTATAAAAAAAGGAAAAAAAAGGGGGGTACAATCTTGAGATATATCCACAGCTGACCGGCCCAAGTGATGCTTGAATTTCGGGCCAGATATGGATATTATGACAACCCTGACAATGTCACCCGGTGTTGTATTCTTCAGTGGCATAGGTGGTGATAGTGCACATAAGATGTTGTGTGTGTGTGGGGGGGGGAGACATCACATCGGGTAGGGGCGAAGAGTGGGTTTGCTCCCAATTCCACTGGAATTCCAGTGTAACATGACACTCATTTGGAGCAATCACGATCTCTAGAACTTCCAAGTTGAAAAAGAGGAAAGGCAGTTGTCATTAAAAAAAAAAGGATAATTTGTGAAATACCCCTATAAGTTGAGATATATGCCAAAATGCCCCTAAAAGATATGGGTAGAGCGGAATACCCCTCTGACGCAAAAATTGCTTTGCGAAATGCCCCTGGCGTCGGTTGGACCTGTCATCTCTGCAAAATACCCCTACCGGGTACTATCCATGTTTGCAAAATATCCCAGTACTTTCCAACTTTTCCCATGCCCTTTGTATTTTCGTTTTACCCCTAGTGGCCCTGGCCATCTTTGCGTTTTGCCCCCTCGCTGTGTGTTTGTGCGTGTGCGTGTGTGTGTGTGTGTGTGTCTGTGTGTGTGTGTGTGTGTGTGTGTGTGTGTGTGTGTCTGTGAGAG